GGTGTTTTGCTGGTGACACTGTTGGGGATTTATTCAAAATTGAAGGCACACTGAACCAGCATGGCTACCACAGCATCCTGCAGCGACATGCCATCCCATCCGGTTTGCGTTTAGTTGGACGATCATTTATTTTTCAACAGGACAATGACCCCAAACACACCTCCAGGCTGTGTAAGGGCTATTTGACCAAGAAGGAGAGTGATGGAGTGCTGCGGCAGATGACCTGGCCTCCACAGTCACCGGACCTGAACCCAATCGAGTTGGTTTGGGGTGAGCTGGACCACAGAGTGAAGGCAAAGGGGCCAACAAGTGCTAAACACCTCTGGGAACTCCTTCAAGACTGTTGGAAAACCATTTCAGGTGACTACCTCTTGAAGCTCATGGAGAGAATGCCAAGAGTGTGCAAAGCAGTAATCAGAGCAAAGGGTGGCTATTTTGAAGAAACTAGAATATAAAACATGTTTTCAGTTATTTCACCTTTTGTTGTTAAGTACATAACTCCACATGTGTTCATTCATAGTTTTGATGCCTTCAGTGAGAATCTACAATGTAAATAGTCATGAAAATAAAGAAAACGCATTGAATGAGAAGGTGTGTCCAAACTTTTGGCCTGTACTGTATGTGAGTTTTCACAAATGTAAAGTTGTTGTGGACCCTACACTGTAAAGGGAAACTATATAGGATCCGTCCCAATACTCACACTTCCCCTCAAAATTGGCCCTAGCCCTTGTTTTTGCGTGTTCCTGCGAATGGTTAGGGTGTCCCAAACTTTAAGGAAATGCTTTTCAGCCCTTAAAATCCCCACTTTATTTGAAGGGCCGTGCGATGCACCCTTACGAACTCATCTCAACTGAGGGGAAGATTGAATTTCCCAGGAGGCATTGTAAAACTATCCAGGAAGATGGCAGCCTCCATGAGAAAGCCATCGCACAATTGTAGTACTATTTTCGCAAATGAGCATGCAAAAATTCAAAAGTATGTCGGAATGTGTTATGTTTATGCATATGCATTATTATCTGTAAGCGTTGAGTTAGAATATGAACGCTTGAAAATTGCTAAGTCACGATGTAGCCAACATGAATATCTACAGAGCTCTCCGTAAAGCTGTTAATGCTGAAGCCTACATCAACGATACGCGTGACGTAGGTGAACACGTCTGTTACACTAATTTGCATGAAGTGGCGTCCCAGTTGGTAGGTAAAATTCCCTACCCCTCAACATTACCCCTTCATCATTGAGGGGAATCTATCTGGTGAGTGCATCTGAAACCAAGGGGTAAAGGTAAGGGAAGAGAATTGGGATTGGCCCTTATTTGCTTAAAAAAGTTAGTGTCTGGGCTGCATTAAAATTTTAAGTTGACTAAATGTGAGAAAATAAGTTAAGGTAATTTTGTAATTATTCAACTTGTCTTTTCAAATTCAGTCAACTTAATTTTTTAAGGCAGCACGGACACTTGCTAATGGGGATCCTAATAAACGGAACCAAACTAAACTAAACTAATCGAGGACCTGTACCGGTCAAGGGTCAGGAAAACAACACTTGCATCCTTGTAGATTTTTGTTTTATATTTTTTGTATATTGTATATTCTGTATATTCCACTTCTTGCCTAAATTTTGAGTACTTATTGAGAGCAAGTCTACCGGAGTCAAATTCCTTGTATGTACACATGTACTTGGCGAATACAGCTGATTCTGATTCTAAACTAAAGTAAACTTATATCCGTTAGCTACGTAAACTCAAGACTTTAAGTAAAAATGTAACTAAAAATGTATTTGTTCTGATTAACTACAAAATTACCTCAACTTGTCTTCTCAAATTCAGACAACTCAAAAATTCAAGGCAGCCTGTGCACTAACTTTTTTAAACTAATTTATTTTTACAGTGTAAATGTATCCTCTGTGTTAGTTATTCTACTAATACAGAGCCTATTAGAGTGGAGAGTGCCTCAAACAGGTTTCAGGGTTGATGGATGTTAAGCTATATAATGCTTACCTCTGGAAATTAATTACAGTGATCTTTAATTCTGCCAACAGTTAATGATCGCTAAAGGTCACAAGCCTGGATGTGGTATCATTAGATGAGATAGATGTGGCATGGGAGAGCATTACATTTTTATAATCACAAAAACATTGAAAAATATATATTTTACAATATAGGTTCAAAAGAAAAGTGCACAAAGTTAGCCGTTAGTCAAATACTGAGACCACTCCTTTTTTACACCCCTGTGTGACACCCCGAGCATGAGTCTTTACAAAGTGGGTCAAAGGTTATGTCTGTGTGTGTGTGTGTGTGTGTGTGTGTGTGTGTGTGAGAGAGAGAGCGAGAGAGAGAGACATGTACTGTTCAGGTACACTTAACCTAATGAAATTCCTGCCATTGAGGTGATCATTTTTTTGAGGATTATGAGTTTAATCACTGCTGACAACCACCATTCCCCTGAGGACACACTGAATGTGTGTGTATTTGAACAAGAGAGAAAGAGACAAGCTTTTTTTTTTATTAATAAAAAAAATTGTGTATGTCTTGTCCAGTGTTGGTGGTCTTATGTATGTGTGTGAATGCATGCTGCATGTGTATTTGTTTGTGGTGTGTTATTTTTGTGTGTCCACTATGAGGCTTTTTTAAGTTCCTCTATTTTCCACTCATGCTGACAGGTGACACCAGGGTTTGGAGGATTTCTGTCTGTCTGCCTGTTTGTCCGTCTGTCTCTCCCTATCCATGCCATTTTCTCTTCAAAGTCAACAGCAGCACATTCCTGTGTCTCCTCAGTTTTACAAAAAGCCATTCACCCTTCATTTTTTTCTGAAAACATCTCATATTTTCACTCTGCAGGCTATTCTGTCCTGCTTTTTTACATTAAAGCAAGACTGTAACTTTCTGAAGAAGAGATAACGCATTCCTCTTCTGGGAAATAAAAAAGTTCAGCTCATAAGGAATTTAAACGCAGCCTTACTCAATTCAGTACACCTCAGGTTTTGCTGATTCAGCCTTCAGCTTTGTTTATATGCTTGCGCAAGACACCATGGCATGGGCCTCCGTAGATGGTGCATGAGCTACAGTCATGCACAGAGACATTTTTGCTTATTGCATTGTTTGTTGCAATGTACTTCGAAACGCCAGGCACCATACAAACAAAATATATAGTGGATAAGCAAGATGTCATCGAGTGTTACTGAAAGAATGTTAAACCAGAAGAGTAGGTTGTTTGGCAGCAGTTGTATCACCAATGTAGTGCCAAACATTGTATTTGTGTGCTTTAATTATAAAGGCGGATTTGTAGCCTATGCACATGGCCTACGCCGTTGTGAGCATTTATACTTTTGCAACTGTGTGTCTGTGTTCCTCTGCAGTTACACCTCCAAACACTAGTCGGCAGTGGAGGTTTCTGTGAAGTGCTGTAAAGTTTAGTTGATTCAAAACTCACCCAAAACACACATTAAACACACATTAAACATGGCTTAATAGAGACAATTTCAAACACAAGTAGGCTACACAAATCAGCTTCACTATAACTCACAGCATTCACAGACAAAGCACTTGATTTGATTTGACAAATACAACATGCTAACGTTATTAGCACAAGCCTATGGCATTTTTCATTGTATAAATTAGCTTAGAGGCTAGCAGACTCATATGAAGCCAGGGACAACAGCAGCATTTATCAAAGGTAATGTTACAAAATTTGGCTCCATTACAACTCACAAGGTTCAACGACAAAACAGCTGTCTTATACTAAACACGTTTTCCAAACAAAGACAACATGCTAACGTTATTAGCACAAGCCCATGGCATTTTACATTATATAAATTAGCCTAGCGAATAGCAGAGATTCTTCTGCTCATATGAAGCCAGGATAAATCACACACAGGATTTAAAATGTTATTTTTGTGGAGGCTTTATTGTCTTCACAATTTATTGTTTCTTATCTGTGAAATTAAAGCTTCGTTTCCACTGAGGGAAATGGTTTCAGCTTACAAGAATAGACAGGAGGTCTGCGTCAGCGCAACTTGCATGTCAGGCTACAGCGTAGGTTGCGGCGTAGGCTCTGCGTCAACTTAATTAGCAGATGCAGAAGTATAAATCCTGCTTAACTTTTGCTTACCCCCAAGTCGAAATTATCTGCTTTATTTGCTCCGTGTCACCACTTTTTCCATGAGACCGTTTATTGGCTTTCACAGCAATAGCTCATGTTCTTCCACAATCAGCAGCAAAAAGCCTCATCTTTCCCCAAGTGTGGCAGGCCATTTCTGTCCAGTAATTTAAGGCCATTAGACTGTCCCTGTGGTCTCCCACTGAGGAGTTGAAGAGATGTCTGTACAGGCGAATCAGCTCAGCCAGTCTTTCCTGCTGAACCGAAAAGTGCAGTGCAGTGGGCACCTAGTTACAAAAATTCACAAGTGCTACAACAACTTTCAGAGTCTTTGAGCTTGACGCAAAAGGAGTGGTTACGTCATTTTCAAGTGCACAAAAAATGTGTTGGGGACACCTCAGCGAGCATAAACCATGCACATTTTACTTGATCTGGTATGACCATTTGCTTACAGTGCACTGTATCATTGGGTCCCTGTTAGAGCCTTGGGGTCCCCAGGTTTAGAGAGCTGTAAACTCCTAACAGTGGAGCCTCAGTACTTTAACGAGAAGACGTCTGACCTCAGTTAACTTAACAGAAATACAGCAGAATGTTTTTGTTGAGCAAACAAGCACAAATAGACCCAACTTGGTGTGCACTGGTTTGGTCGTTCAAACAGAGTCATATACAGGGACATGAGTGACTTTAAATATGGTGACAGTCTAACACTGTGACAATATTTGTCTCTGGTTTTCAATTTGATGGTTCATTTGGTATTCCAGCGTTTTAACAACCTGGATTTGGTACAGGGTGAGAATAGAGGGAGACAGAGACAGGCTGAAAGAGTGGAAAGTGAGAGAGAGAGAGAGAGAGAGAGACGGGGGTGAATAAGCCGTTTGTTTGTCCCTCGGCTGTCCTCCCTGGCCTTGCCTGGTGCTTGGTGCCTGGCGTCCAGGGTCATTTCCTTTCATAACGACCACTGCCATCCTTGCATTAGCATTTTCACTGCTGTGGGGGCAACACTCGAGTGCGCGAGTGTGTGTGTGTGCTTGGTCGCTTGTTCGCTTCGGGCCTTATTATGCAGGGACTTGGGAAGACAGAGAGAGGGGAGCAGGGCCGAGACATCGACCTGACGTCGCTGAGATCCACCATGCCAGCCAGCGGCCCTCTGCAGGTTAGTGCACCCAAAAAATCTGAAAGAAAACTGTGTGAAGAGGAGGGAGAGACAGGTAGAGACAGACGGGGGAGACATAGAAAGTTAGACAGAAGTTGTAAAATAGACGTATCTGTGTAGCAGATACCTCCCTCTTTCGCTACCCTTCTTCCTTTCACTCTTTCACTTCCCTTCCTCTCACTCCTGGTCTATCCGCCACCCTGAATCGCTGCTCCTGTCTTAGCTTTGCCACAGAGCTGTGGTATGTCCTGCCTATGTGAGAGCTGAGGATCAGAGGGTTGCTGTGTGGCTCTCTGGGTTCGGCTGTGTGTCCGTACTCTATTCTGAGACCAAGTTACGATCGCAACATCCATCAAATATCAATTAGGGCCTGGGTGCAAAGGCTAATAAAGCCCTCTAATGCGGCGACTGGTCAACAGAGCAGGTACTCACTAATGCCAAAAATAAAAGGTCAAGGTAGGGCTGGGGACCTGAAGACGTGTCTTTCTTTTTCCTCTTTGTGCTCAATTTTAAGGCCTATTTTTGTTTAAAGAATCAAATTTTGTAGTATTTACGAGTTGAGTTTTATTTGGCATCGCTCAAAATAGCATCTTTTTTCTTCAAATAACTGTAACTCATCATTTACTACAGTTATAGGTATGCGGACAGCCTCCTTGACACACACACACACACACACACACACACACACACACACACACACGCACTTGCAATTCATCCTCTGTATCAGTGTCAGGGCCAGCAGTGTTCCTGCCCATCAACCAACAGGGCTATCAGTTACTGGTATATTTAGCTGCACAGTCTCCGGTGAACAAAGTGCTATTACTCAAGAGAAGCTGCATGTGTATGTGTGTGTGTGTATGTGTGTGTGTGTGTGTGTGTGTGTGAGTGAGACAGTGACAGATGTGGGAGAAAAGTTGTAGCGTATGTATATATGTAAGTCTCATTCTCTTCAGGGCCATCCAGAGTCAATACACTTAATCGCAGTATTTTAAAGTGTTGCAGGTGAAATGAAACCTAAACCAACAAAGCTTCTTGATGCCTTTTGGCGATTTTTGTTCATTAATATTGCTGCTGTCAGTCAAGAAGCACATGCAATTTGCAAAATTAGGTAATTCTTTTCATAACTAACGGTGGTTTTTCCTTAAATCATCTTTTATGTCTAAATTAGGAATTGTATTGTAAAACATTAATTAGAAAATCAACACAAAAAGTTCATCAGTAGCAACTTCGTAAAAATCTCATATCTGTAATTTCACTTCCTGTCATCAGGATGAATTTATGTAGCAGCAAAAATAAGGTTGCTGCCTGCTAACCCCGTCCAGATTTACCACTCATGAATGCTGGTTCTGTTCATTCATTGAACTGAACACATACACGCACACACACATTTTCAATCTGCGAATTTCCTTCTCGTGTTTTGATGAGTCACACTTGCACATCAGTGAGACCTCGAACAATATTACCATTCATTAAAATACAGTATATCTATGTTGGGGGTGATTTGTCACAGTGGTTACTGCAACCACAGGACGATGTTACAGCAGCTGGTGTTTTAGGTGGTTTTAGCAACAGTTAGCAAGAATTGAAATGACTAACATGCAATGTGAATGGTGATTAAGACCACCATGACTGTTGGCAGAGACAGAGGCCTATAGAGGGTTCCAAGAATGGGTCCTATGAGCCAGAAATAAATTAGCATTTTAGCACTCCTGGTTCCCTCGTTTCAAAGTTTTTGGTTAGATATCTGAAATAAGGTCTGTGGTTAATGCAGGCTTAAGAGACTTTCAGGTTTTGTAAATAGCCCACTCGTGATTTTTGAGGCTTTTACGTGTCTTTGAAAAGACAGTAGCGAACAAGTGGCTAAATGAGATTAAAGGACGTCATCACGCCAACCACAGCTTTACAGCCTCTTTGTGGAAGGACATTGAGTCATGAAATCATGGTGTAATTCGTTTAAAGCCTAATGTTAGCTATTTACTTGTGGCAACTGCATTAAGGCTTCAAAAAGTCTTTAATTGTGAAGATTTTTTTTACCCGAACAAAACAATATGTAAGTATCATGAACGTTTGTTTGTCATGGATCTTATTTTCTGCATTAAACCAAAATCCAATGGAAAAATCCCATTGGCTTTTTGACGAGGCAACCACAGCAACTATCAGACACAATGGTGGACTCACAAATGCAGACTGAGATGAAATCCAAAGTTTAGGGTTTTTAATACAGTCCGAGTCAGCACAAAAAAGGCAGTCAGCACAGGCAGAGGTAACCAAATCAACAGGCAAAAACTCACTGGTGTGAATACGAAAAAAAGTCAATACACACTAGGAAGAACACTGGAAAGCTCACACCAAGGACAAGACAATCTAGCAGAGAACAAATGGAAGACAGGGACTTATATATACTCTGGCAGGGGAGATAATGAGACACAGGTGAAAGCAATCAGACAGTCAGCGCGGCAGGAAACTTGACAGGACAGGGGGAGACAAACAAGAGACTTTCAAAATAAAACAGGAAACAGAACATCACATTCAAACCCTGACAGTGAAGCTAACTTCCACGTCAGCTTCCAGAGAAACGTCATCCCCGGAGCACTCTCTACTGCCTAATAAATCCAAAACGCATTATTGGCCGAAATGGAGTTAAGGCTACACCTAGGCTTTCTGAAAACTGTTTTACCAGCTATAAAATCATTAAAACATACAACTTACAAAAGACAACAGATCAAATCAGTGTTGCCAACTTGGCGACTGTCTTGCTAGTATTAACAACTCCCTCTTTATTTCTACGCAGTGACAAGCAACAACTCTAGCAACTTTTCAGACCATTGGGGAAAATTTGAGAAATCTCTCCCCGTCTCTCTTCTTGTGCCACACAGTAGATGTAGAACAGGGAGGAGTAGAGGAGTCACTGGTTGCCATGGGAGTTCTGTTGTAGTGAGGTTCTATTGTTATGTTGATGCTCTCACAATCTGAATTAAAAGCATGAGAACGTGGTGCACTTTAGTACAAGCACTGCAGCTCTCATGCTCTTCTGTTGTGTTGGGAAGTTTTAATGCCTCCATTAATGCACAGTGATGTCACCAATATGCAGTTGATGACATGACATCAGCTGGCAACTTTTAGCAATTTTTGGAGTTGGCTACTTTCATTGAAAAACAGATGGCAACAGATGAAAGATGCTCAGTGCGGCATGAAGCCAAAATGGAACTATATCTGCAGTATGAAATTACCCGGATGATCAGTGCTGCTTCCACATCACTGGGCCCATAGAGCAGGCACACCAGGAACTTACAACCACCGGGCATGACCAAGCACAGCCTAGCGCAGCACTCCGCTAACTTAAATGGGTATAAAATTATTCAATCTTGCAGCTCTTGTAGACTTTCCAAATGTTGTCACATCAAATGGATTAAATCTTGATAATGGAACGAGTCAGTTGTGACACTCAAAAAATGTATAGACATCACTTTCCCAATGTAAGTCTATGGGAAAAAGTCTTTTTGGGCCAAATGGCATCACATGACAGACCACAGAAATTCCAGTAATGCTGTTTGGCCATGACAAATATTGGCTCCAAAACCCAGTGTACTTCATGGGGGCCTTGGTAAAACCAAATTGACTCCACGCTAGTTAGGGCTAGCTGGTGAAAGCTTTACCTATGTTTTCCTGCATTTAAAATCAGCTTTTTCAATCTTTAAAATCTTAGCAGACGAGTGTGTTACAGCACATAATAAATAAAGGAGTAGCTAAATCTGTTAGCAGGCCTAGCTAAACACCAGCTAAGCTAGGCCTGCTAAAAGCTAACAAGCCTAGCTTAGCAGAGAAGCAACTGCTGTCTCAGCTTCTGAAAATAGAAGTATTTATATGATTTAATGTATAAAATCATAGATTAATTAATTTGACACTTTCATTAGGACAAATGGACAAGAAAACTAAAGGATGTTTGTAATTACTGCATGTCTTTTTTTTATCAATCTGTTCCTTTGCTTGACTAAGTAGCTAGTCCTCAAACTTTAGGCTATTTTTTTTTCTTCTAACTTTACTCTTGTATTCAGTTTCTGCTCTCTGCTTCTGTCAGGCAGTATAGCACCCTTCATCAAAGATAAGCACCATTTGGCCACCATCAGCCTCCAGCTATGGCAGTAATGATCATATCATGTGGCGCAGAATGTAAATATTTACATCCACAGATGCCAAGTTCTTACCACGGCTATTCATTTCAAGCCTGGTTGCTTAATGATATGTCGGCAGATGTGAAGAGAGAAATGTGTCATCCCTCCAGAAAAAAAGCGGAAATGAGTGTGTGCATGTGTGTTTAGGAAATCGCTCTCTCAGCATGATACACATCCTGTATGTCAATGCCAAATCAAGCTTGTGGTTTGCATGTGTATGATTGATGTTATCATCACTACATGACGCATATGTGTTTGCCATGTTGTTTTGACAGACAGATGGATGGCTGGTTGCCACTGCACTTAGGGTTTAAGCTGCAGCAGGTGTTGTATATGTTAGAGAGAGCAGGAGCCAGCGCTACTGTACAAGAAATATGAAATGGATATTCTCCTTTAGAATATCAGCTATATAATAAGATGTGGTTTTCCTTATAATCTGTAACCTGCCACTGGTACTGCGCAGCAATTACTGGTAATTTATAGCCACTGTTGATACATTATGGCAAGTCTTTAAGCTCATTGGTATCACATGTGGTGTTATTTCAGTTTGTAATTGGAAGAGATAACCAGGTTGGTTGAAATTAAAAAAAAAATATCACAAGGTCAACTCTGTAGCTGCTGTGGAGCTTTTGATTGTATCACATGATCATCCTCAGCAGTTAGAGTTTCTTGTCTTTTTTGTCAACTGTTGCTCCCAAGGTCATGAATCTCAAATTTTACTGTAAGCCACACAAGAATCCCTTAAGATGGAAAATCCTGTCTGCTGACAAACGCAAACACGCTACAACAGCCCAGAACTTTTCCATTAGGGGAAACGTGCGGCAGCCT